CCGTGTACGTATTTCATCCGGACAGGTAATGCAGCAGTGTTGAATATTCGTGCCATTCACTTCCTAGGCCTTAAGGGCAGTTAAATCTCATTTGACCTGAAAAGTCGACGAGATGTGGCCAAATGGATATCGGGGTTGTGCTTCGAGGCGCGTAGTCTTCGAATTTTAAATATGCACTGAATCTGCTTGAAACCTCCCTGCTCGAGAGGCGCCGAAAAGGGGCTCTCCCAGATCTGTCACCGGCCAGCTCAATAGCAAGGTTCAAACTTTGCCTTCAGGTACAGACCGGTGACAGGTCTGCTGGTACAGTTCTATGTCGAACCCGTGGCTGAACGATACCAGTGAACCGAAAAACATGTCTTTGTCCATTCCTTATCTTTCTAAATTGACAGATTGCAGTGTCACCTTCTGCCTGCCTATGTTCCTTTTTGCTTACCGACGGATGCGGAAGAACAGCTCTGGTGTCCTATGGAGCCGGATAATGGGGCTACCCGCACAAATGGTGTCACGGTTCAGAGAGCCCTACGCCACAGGGATATGTTCAGCTCACCCAAGCGCCTTCATGTTCGCTGTCATCCTTCGACAAAGCGACGACCTCGGCTATTTCACACCCACGTCCAAACCGTTGGATACCGATTCACGGCGAAAACTGAAGTTCCCGACGACAATCTGATAGTAATTGCACGACGACTTCGGTTTTTTTACGGTAACTATCTGTTCGTTCCGTTACCATTTCAGGACTAGGCTAGAATTGATCTTCAACATACTCAAGTGCTTGAGCCCTCAGCTCTCCAGCTACTCTGATAGCCCCGATTCATGATGTTTCAGATGCTTGCGCGTTTTAGCCATACACCGTCATTGGATTCCGGGGGGTCTCGTCCCACTTCACTACTTCACTTGTTCCAAGTTTAACCCCAATCAAATAGTTGTTTAGCTCGACACCTGATGCAACGATGATGGAATAATGCTTGTGAGGTCGGTATGTAGGCTTAGATAGGGAGCAAACTTAACCTCGTGAGTCCTCGTTGTCGGTCTCGCTTTTCATACTTTCTTGGCAGAACCAGAATGTACTGGGCTTGTTGATTCGAATATAAATACGAGTTCCCTTGACGGTATTAGGCACCTTGCGCAACACGGCCATGGCCGAAATTCCTGTTGCGCAAAACGGCCATGGCTGTGAAATGACGTTGCGTTCCACAAGCCCCACAAGCCGAGGAAGATTCCGATTTTTCAGCCATGGCCGAAAATTAACGGCCAAAGTGGGGCTTTTTGGAGCTTTTGGTGGGGCAACTGCGCAATGCCGAATCACGGCCATGGCCGTTTTGCGCAACATGATTTCGGCCATGGCCGTGTTGCGCAAGGTGCCTATTAGAAGAGTGGCTATACAATGTTCTCATTCCATTCTACAGCCACCCACCCGCGGTCATACTGCGCTCCCGAGTCCCAATTCCGTTTTCCTACGAATCCATCCGGAGTAACGACCTCGTACTGGACTCGATCATAACGTAGGGGTGAAACTAGCTATGGTGGTTAAGTAGGAGCTGTTGGGTCCCCTTGATTTCGAGAAGAAGTGTCGGGAGCCCAATCGTGATTCGTGAGCTGCGGACATTATTTTCTCGTACGTACCGTATCCAACCACTGGTACCGTTTCTAACGTTCATGATCAACGAGCCATCATTCCGAGCCTCAATCTACGTTTCACCAAAGCCGGACAAAATAGATCTAATCATCACGCTATTGAAACTACAGCCATATTCTCTGGAGATAGGACAGGCGGGAGCACGCCTCGTTCAGCCTTTGGGTACATTGGACCAAGTACCATTAGACGCCTCTGAAAAGTCATTCAGTCATGGCACATGGACGACCTTAAGGACGTCTGGAGTAAGCTCCATGTCACATTAAGAGCTGGTAAACACTCACATTGCAGGGGATGTCTCCTCGTGGGGTTTCTTGATCCCTCGAACACTTTCCCCAGGTTCAACTGAATCCAAAGCATTGCCACCAGCTCTTTCGGCACCCATGAAGTTTGTCGCAGTCGACAGCTGTGCACGGAGGTCTGTTCCTGCGAGTCTGATCGCCAAACCGGCGAAGAGGTAAAATAGAAACGCCAAAACACCTGCAGGGAAGGTGGGTTGGGCTTTCGAGTCCTGCCTTGAGCGCTGGGGAGAGCACATATTCATATATGCTCGGGAATTTGTTAGACGACTCACCACCTGGGGGCTCGTGTTCGGTTGAGCAGCGGTCGACTCGGAATTACCGTTGAAGGTAGAGCCTTGGTAGTTGTTCCCTATACTGGGAGAAGCGCATTTGTAATTCGTTATATTGATGCTCAAGGGCGACGACCGGCCATCGCTGTTGGCACGATGAACGATGTTCTCGATCGAGCCAGGGCGACGACCGGATGAATGGGGAGAGGACTCCTCGGGAGACTCCATAATTAGCTGGTAGCGACCGTAGGGAGATGTGCTGTGGATGCGACGTTGGGAAGTCAGCTGCTTAGACTTGAGCGGTCTATGCAGCTTTTAAAGGTGGAAAGAAATATCGATAACGAAAGCATTTGTAACTACGGGAGATCCAGTGTATCTATTGTATCCAGGAGCGCTCTGGTGGTAAAGTACGTGTAGCGTGTCTCTACCTGTGACTGCCAATGCGATATCTACGGCAGCCGGGCCTCCCCATTCTTCCTGTATCAATCGCTTCTAAATGCTCTTTTAAGCGCCGCACCATGTACAGTTCGCAGGGGTCATGATTCTGCAGCGGCTAGACAGCTACCTGCCTTGTGAGAGGTCACATAAATTTGACTTAGGGTTTCCGGTACGCGAGGAGAACTTGAGCGTCCAAGCAGTGTAAATAACTCTTGAAGGAGTGGAGACGAAAGAAACAATCAAAGCTGTACGACAGGCCCCGCATATTGGTGGAAGATCGGGCGAGGCATTGAATTAATTTACTCTTCCGCTGAACACGCAACCTTCAGAACTCTATCTGGCGTGTTCGAAGAGCGTTATACACAATAGAATAATAGACTTTTTCTCCGTCGCGAAAATCACTCATAGCTTGAATATCCCCAAACGAAACAGAGTGTTCAGTTGCCTGGTAGTTGTGACGGTAGGTTCGGATACTAGTGTCCCGGCCACAGATACATAACTCGAATTCGACAATCTCATTGATTTCCGAGTTCGCTGCTACGGCGGAGGAGTCTGTTCACGATCCACCTAGAGATCCGAACGATTCAGTTACAGTGAGATATGGCACGGCATATTTATCAATTCTTATCAACTCATATACTGAGTCTGAGAATACCTGACAGGAAGAGGCGAAGGAAAGAGGTAGACGGTATGGCACCGGTCTGGTGAGAATCTTGTACGAGCTGAAGAGCAACAAGAAGGACGGACAGGCCGTTTTGCATGTGCAATACTTCCCAGTGCTCTGCAGCTGCTAGTCCCCACAACGCTTCTAGTCCGATAAAGCCGCAGGACTTCCATCAAGTTCTGCGGAACTGCTTACAGCGTTCCTTTCGATCTGAGTACTAGTTCAACTCCGTTACTGTCTCTTATGGACACGGAATGATTCCTTGTCGACAAAAGATTACCGGTAACTCGCGAACAGGTGGGCTTATCCAGCCTTAAGCCGCTCGGAGCTACACGACGTCAGTCGGTGTCACCGAGTGACTGACCACTAGGGACGGTCCATGACTATCGCGGGCAAGTACGGGTTGTGCTCAAACAAGCGGTTTTAGCAGTACCTTTCCTTGTTTTTTACAGCAGACTTCTTCGATCACTTCAAAGTGGCGTCGGAGTTCCATCCACAAAATTATCGTCTAACGTTTTCTGCTCCATAACTACCCTAGCCAACTTCGGCTCTCCGGTACCCACGGCTGCACTGGATACGAAAGGGGAGAACAATGTCCGGATGATGAGTTGGATGGAAGAATCGGAATCCGTTGGAGGTGTGTGATTGAGGGGCGGGTGGGTCCTATGTTCAAAATTCATCAAGTCAACCTTCCACTATCGCTCGACCCGAAGAAGTGTTGGTGGAATAACAATGAGTAGAGAACGAGCGACGGAGAATTGAGCACACATACTTCCATTCACCCGGCTCACACTTTCGCTGTTATGCCTCTCACCCATGGTCTTCGTTCGCTTCCCTCTCACCTCCTTCGACTCGGTCGTAATATTGAGCCTACCCAACGTAGGCGGTTTGAAGGTGAAGGTTGCTCGGAGACGGTTCAGTTGTGATTATGAGGTGTAGTAGAGAACGAAAAGAAGTGGATTTGGCGAAGGAGCAAGGCCCCTCATTGCAGGATCTGGAGTCCAGCTCCCTTCTCCTCAACTCCGCTCTCGTGGTTCCAGATTGCATCCTCTCTTCTGTCATCTACTTTTTCTTTCCTTTCCAGCGGTCTCCCGAGAGCATATGGGCTATTCGAGATCTTCGATAATGTCTCGACGTTCTCGTTTCCTCCTTGCCACTTATCGGTGGGTATAACGTCGAGTATTTCCTCCTAGCACCTCATTGCACCAAACTCTTCGTTTGTCCTCTGATAGGCCGTTCAGGCATAGACGCCCGAAAGCTCCTTGACGGCCGCGAGATTTGGACAAGTAGTAGCGCGGTTGGAGGAGACTACAGGAGGCAGGAAACGGGGGTATTGGAGCCAGGTTGACGAGCGTTGCAGCCATATATCGTCCACGGTCAACCTCCTGATGTTACCCGTTATGATCTCCTCTTCGTTGGTCGCTCACGCTCCTCCGCTTCCGCTATCCTAATCGATGCCCCGTTTGGAAACGTTGAAAATGCCGGTGTAGGTTCTCGAGAGAGGCAGAGGTTATGCAGATGGATTTTGACCCAGGGCATCGCTGGGTGCTGGGTGCTGGGTTTCGCCTTCATGAGAGAAAATTGGCGCCCCGAACTCTCACCCTGCTCTCACCTGCTTGCTCTACCCTCTTCCTCGAACCCTGTGCTCCGTATATCCCATTCTGCACCCCATCGTGTTAGGATAAGGGCATGGCGCTATAGCCAAGTGGTTACGGCGACAGATTAGAATTAACAAAGTGATACGGATGATCTGTTCCTCTTTGAGGGCGCAGGTTCGAATCCTGCTGGCGTCGATAACCTTCTTGGCAGTAAATTTTTGCTCAGTGATGCGTGAGGTTCTCGATTGGGATGTTGGTATCTGGCGATGCTGCTGCGCTGTCAGAGCTGGGCGGAACACTATGCAGTGGTATGTTCCCTGTTCCAGCCTTTCTTTCCTCGCTGATAGACGTTGATAGCATCTTTGACGGAAATTTGGCGGTCATTACAAGATTGAGGTCAAAAACATAAACAGTACCTGGGAATGATGAGGCTCCGACGCCCTAATGAGTCCCAACCTCACAAGTATCCCCGCCACATCCCCATATGCCCTAAGTTTCGGCCCTCGAGCATTTGAACAACCGGCGGACTCACTCACCGCTCAGGGCGAATATTTTCTTCCTCAGGCTTCTTCATCTTTTTCTTCCTTTCTTCTCCCTAGCCTAGCTCCCTGTCTCTTCCATTTCCTTGAGGTTCGGCCAGAGAAAGTGGGTGTACGCCGAACACTAGAGCCAGCCTTTACTCTCTGTTACCGACGGTGGTCCTCGGGATTGCCCGTTGTAGCGCCTTCACTCCTTGTGCCTATAATACGCATCCGACTGGTCGCTAATGTCTCCTTGAGCTCAGCTCTTCATCATCTGTATGTTGCTCAAAGGTCGAGGAGAGTTGTACGATCAAGGAGGAGAAGGAGGCTTACCACCGTCCCTTATATTTACCACTATCAGGGCGCTATAGCCAAGTGGTTACGGCGACAGATTAGAATGGTTGCCATGTACACTGCTTCGCAATCTGTTCCTCTTTGAGGGCGCAGGTTCAAATCCTGCTGGCGTCGATCAAGTCGAATGATATGATTTTATATTGAGTTTCGAGGTATGTTCTTTTCTTCTTCGCTTGTTCGGTTTAGAGCCAACTTACTGATGAGTTTCTGGTATAACAGGTTAGCCTATACGCCCAACAAACAGGGAAATGCACAAGGTTGGCACCTACAACTGTCATGTTCCCTGCGCCAGCAAACATCGAGAACCCTCCACCTCCATCTTTTGCAACTTTCCTGTGTCGTTCGGCGACGGCCACAAAATAGGGACATTTCTCTGACACAAACCCGCCCATGATGGATCGCCATCTCGAGTTTCACGGATCGTTCCGAAAGCACCCTCATCCTTTCTCCACGTCGTTAAGGCCTCACCCCCAAACATTTCAACACCCTAGTTCTCTCCTGCTTCTCATATCCTCAGTAATCCCAAACGCACCGCCAATTATGGACCATGGTTATTCTCCGCCTACTTCCCAGCTCTGGGAGCATACATGTTTTCTGTACAGACTGGCCAGCCCCGCGGTGGATTTCAACGCGTTCAGCATCGTCCCTATACCGATTTCTTGCACTGCTCGTTGGCGTTGGTTCAAGGTTCATGGGGTGGTCCGCCGCGAAGTCATGACTGCGTTGATTTTTTCAATACAACAACGGTACTGGCGGTTTACGCACGAACATGGGAAGGGGAAAGAGAAAAAGTGGTGCTGGGGCATACAGGAAAGGGTGCCAACCACGAGGCAGAGCTGGCAAAAATGTTCCTATTGAGGCCAGCCTTACGATCACGGCCATGAATCGTCGTGGGTGGAGTCTGAGATCTTTGATCACACCCCTGACCAAGGCGCTATAGCCAAGTGGTTACGGCGACAGATTAGAACCTTGGTGATATTTGATCTGTTCCTCTTTGAGGGCGCAGGTTCGAATCCTGCTGGTGTGGAGGGTTTTTCTGCTTTGGTACTTTATTCAAAATTTGAATTGATTACTTGATGTCAATCGCCGACGCCGATGTTCGGGCTCAGACAGTCATGATGACGTTGGATTGGAGAAATGAAGTAAATTCCAACCTCTTCCAACTTTCCCCCATCGCCCGAGCAGCGAGCTCCTACCAGTAGTTCGTCGCCCGCGTCGACATAGTACATGAGTCTAGAAAATAGTCAAGCATACAGTATGCGTCACACTGGCTCACGGCCTCGTAGGGAAACACACGCTCTTCAAACCGCTAATTTTGTCTCTTGGAAGGGCAGTACGTACCTCTTTACTCACTACGGCCAGAACAATCTTCTCGCCGACTAACCTCCGAATTTGGAAAAATTCTAACTGTCTAACAGTGGGGAAGCTTGACGCCGAGCTTTACCTACCTCGCAAGTTGCACCCACTCGACATTTTCATCGCCTAGCCAACGGGATCATATGTTCAAGCACACTAGTGCCTTGATAGTTGATGTCCAGTTTCGACGAGTCTCACACACCAAGAACCTGAGGTCGAGAGAATTGAGGGTGGTTGACGACCGCAATTGGACGAACTTTAGAATCGCATGGTCTCTCTCCGAAGTTCGGCAATAGCCCGAAGGTCGGTGGTGGAGTCCAAGTCCGCTGCTGGAAGTCTGAAGAGCTCAATTGAGGCGCCTACATCGCCGTCATCAGCTATCTAAACTCCCTTCAGTCAAAATTTTGACCCTGGTTGTGCGGGGTTGTCCCTTCTAAACTTTCATAAACTTGCAAGCTATTGGATTTTGGCGTGGGGCAAAAACATTTGAAAACGAGTCGTGCGCGTGAGATTTAACAGCGATCACCGGTCCTCAACTGCGGTCCACTCCCATGGTGTTTCCATAAATACATCCACATTGTTCATCCAACCCACTCTCGTCTTCCCCTCCAGTTCTTGGGAAAGCTGTCCCACAAAATGCGTCCAGCAAACCTTCTCGCCGCCCTTCCGCTCGCCCCTTCCTTCGACTTCGAGTCTGCCTGTTCTCTCTCTGCCCTCTCCGCACTCGAGTCTCAGCTTGGCCTTCCTACCCAATTCTTCCAGGCTTCTGTCGTACCGGCCGGTTCTAACATCACCTTCCCTGACACAGACCCCTCCTGTGGTGCAACGCCCCTGATAATTCCATCCGACATATGCCGAATCACGATGCAAATCGAGACGTCATCCTCGTCTCGTATCAACATGGAGGCTTGGCTTCCTCGAAACTGGACTGGACGGTTCTTGAGCACGGGAAACGGAGGATTGGGAGGATGCATCCAATACCCCGATCTGGCCTACACAACTTCGCTGGGTTTTGCCACCGTGGGAGCGAACAATGGTCATAATGGGACCAGTGGAGCGCCGTTTGCTGAGAGTCCCGAGGTTGTAGCTGATTTTGCCTATCGATCGTGAGTTTGGTTTCTTGTTCGCGCGTTCCTGTCGCGTCTCAACAGATTCCGAGGGACTGTTGTTTACCCCTATGATGGTTTTCTATTATTAGGATTCATACCAACGTCGTCGTTGGGAAGAAGATTACAAAGGAGTTCTACGGAGAAGATCATACGAGATCCTATTACCTCGGCTGTTCGACTGGCGGACGACAGGGATTGAAGAGCGTTGAAGATTTTCCGGAAGATTTTGATGGAGTCGTCGCTGGTGAGCTAGATCAGCTCTGATTGCTTGGTTTCAGTGAACATGGATCTGACCGACGTCTTTTTCTTTCTTCAATGTGGTTTCGCCTTTATGATTTCTTAGGTGCTCCCGCTGCTCAATTCGTCAGCCTCACCTCGTTTTCTGGACATTTCTTCTCTGAGATTACCCGTGACCCTTCCCAACCAACCTTCATACCCGTTCCCACATGGACTGGTCTCATCCACAATGATATTCTCGCCCAGTGTGACAAGATCGACGGCGTCGAGGACGGTATCATTGAAGACCCCAATACCTGCGACTACGATCCCTCTCGGCTTCTTTGTGCTGACGACCAAACCGACAATTGCCTCACCCCTACCCAAGTTGAGACCGTTCGCAAGTCGTACAGTCCGTTCCTCAACTCGACCGGCGGCCTCATATTCCCCCGTGCCCAACCTGGTGGCGAAGATCTCCTCGCGATCCAGGTCAACGGTCAACCCTTCATCTTCACAGCCGATTGGTTCAAATACGTCGTCTACAACGACTCTTCCATCGATACAACCAAGATTGGGCTTTCAGACTACGAATTCGCGATTAAACAGAATCCATTCGATATTCAGACGTTCAAGGGAGATTTGAAGGCGTTCGAGGCTCGTGGTGGGAAGTTGTTGACGTACCACGGACAGGCGGATGGATTGATTACGCCCAGGAACTCGGAGGTTTATTACAACCACGCGAAGGAAGTTTCGGGAGATTTGGATAGTTACTATCGCTTCTTCCGTATCTCGGGGATGAGCCATTGTTCTCGTGGTCCTGGTGCGTGGACGATTGGACAAGGTGCAGGGGGTTCGTTGGATGCGGATAAAAACGTCTTGACGGCTGTTGTGCAGTGGGTTGAAGAGGGGGCGGCGCCGGAGACGATTGAGGGTTTCAAGTTTGTGAACGACGACGCGTCGCAGGGAGTAGCATTCAGTAGGAAGCATTGTAGGTGGCCCTTGCGGTCGACCTATGATGGCGAGGGCGATCCTAGTAAGCCAGAGAGCTGGAGTTGTGAGGCTGTTTAACTCCTCTCGACCTGATATCATATTGGATTTGGTACGATATTCTCAGTGAATTTTGTTGAACGATACCCAAACACTCGGTTACTTTAGAATCAGGACTCGAGATTTCGGAGTTTCCAGAACATAATGGATCAAGCAACGTAAGAACAGACGCAAATATCCGCCACTTACGACTCCTTTCTTATTGTAAAACCAAGTTAGAGGTTGCCCTTGCTCCTGAAAGCCGATCAGGAGCGGTCAAAATGGTGTTACTTCGCAAGCTCTTCCCCCATATGTTCTCGCCCTCTGTTCACACTTTCAATTATCGTCAGCGCTTCGCATTCTATATACAACTGAACACGCTCCGAATCTTTTGCAGCAAGTTAGCAACGTATGGGAGATCACTTTTATTCGGATTACTCGTGTTATAGACAAAGTCGCATGCTCACTCATGGAACGAGCTCTAGCCTCTAAGCTATTGACGATTGTATGTCAGTGCTGACCATGGAAAAGAGGACCAGAGAGACACACAGATCAAAAACTACGCAAGTAGTCGGAGTACTGATGTTCCTAGTACCAGGGTCCTCTGGGTGGCGGCCTTCCCGAGTCTTTTTCTTTGGATAAGTCATTTCCAGTGCCAACTTGGTGCTCTCGACATCAAGACGCCACGAGTCCTGCACTCCAAGGCTCACGACAGCCTCGAGCACTGATTGAAAGTCAAACAGACAGACTCCCACGTCGCATCATCATGATGAATCCCGCGGTTCAGTAAATTCACATGGCCAGTTACGGCACCTATAGATTAAGTATGTCGGACTATCAGTATGTCTACTGACACTTGATGATGGATTGATAGGCATCATCAATTCATCGGTCATCAAGTCCTGGAACTGCGGTCCCCCCCCCAGGGTATCACTATAAAAGCCTCCACAGTATTTCATTCCACTCGCTCGCTTTTCACCCTTGAGCTCTTGGGAAGGTGCTGTTCTTTAAGAATGCATCCAGCAAACTTTCTCGCCGCCCTCCCCCTCGCCTCTTCTTTCGACTTTGATTCTGCATGCAACCTCTCTGCTCTCTCTTCGCTCGAGTCCCACCTTGACCTGCCCACCCAATTCTTTCAGGCTTCCGTCGTACCAGCCGGCTCCAACATCACCTTCCCTGACGTTGAACCCTCCTGCCGCCCTGATGCACCCACCCTCCTTGTTCCGTCCGACATATGTCGTATCACTATGCAAGTCGAAACGTCATCCTCGTCTCGTATCAACATGGAAGCGTGGCTTCCCAGGAACTGGACTGGACGGTTCTTAAGCACAGGTAATGGAGGATTGGGAGGATGCATTCAGTATTTTGATCTGAACTACGCGGCTTCGCTGGGTTTCGCCACTGTCGGGGCTAACAATGGGCATAATGGGACTAGTGGGGCGCCATTTGCTAAGAGCCCGGAGGTCATAGCTGATTTTGCTTACCGGTCGTGAGTGAGGTTTCTTTTCGCGAACTCTTGTTGCGTCCTCAATTACGGGTACAGTTATTGACTCTCATGTTTCCCCATCAGAATTCATACCAACGTCGTTGTCGGAAAGAAGATTACGAGGGATTTCTATGGCGAGGCTCATACCAAGTCCTATTATCTTGGTTGCTCGACTGGTGGAAGACAGGGGATAAAGAGTGCCGAAGATTTCCCGGAAGACTTTGATGGAATTGTTGCAGGTGAATTATAATAGCCCTGCTTTCTTGACTTCGCTAAACGTGTTCCTCTCATTTCTACTCATACATCTCGGAATTCCCGTTATATTGTATTTAGGTGCTCCTGGTGTTCAATTCGTCAGCCTTCTCTCCGCCTTGGGACATTTCTATTCTGAAATCACTGGTGATCCCTCACAACCGACATTCATTCCCGGCCCCACCTGGACTGGTCTTATCCATAACGACATTCTTGCTCAATGCGACAAAATCGACGGTGTCGAAGACGGTATTATTGAGGACCCGAACGCCTGCGACTACAATCCCTCTCGACTTCTCTGTACCGATGGCCAGACTGAGGACTGCCTTACCCCCATTCAAGTTGAATCCGTCCGTAAGACATACAGTCCCTTCTTCAGCTCGACTGGCGACCTCATCTTTCCCCGTGCTCAACCGGGTGGGGAAGAGTTCCTCGCTGTAGTGGCCAACGGTGAGCCCTTCGCACTCACGGCCGACTGGTTCAAATATGTCGTCTACAACGACTCTTCCATCGATACCACCAAGATCGGGCGTTCGGACTACGAATATGCAATTGAACAGAACCCGTTCAATATTGAAACCT